AACTAGTAAGTTCGAACTAGGCTTAGTCCTTGTAGAATGAGGTTTACCTAGTTCGAACTAAGCGCTCCGCTAGTTCGAATTAAGTTCGAACTAGCGGAGCGCTAGTGTAGCGCCTATCAAAGTTAATTCGAACTAACGTCCGTTAGTTCAAATTAACTTTGTAGTGTAGACATACCCAGAGAGAGTTGAGAGGACTAAATTGGAAGTACTGGAGATTCTTTTCTCAGTGGGGGATTCCTCTCCCAGGGACGGCTGTGTGTTCGTACCAGCCGGGCACTTCTCACAGCCTAGAGGCCAGCTTATTGCCTTAATCATTCTCTCCTCATATCTATGTTTTCAGCTTCTCAGGATCAGATGAGCCAGCATAGACTATGCTGATTTTATTGCTCCTTCTCTGTCCTGTATGCTTCAGGGGGGGGGGGGGGGGGGCCTGTCTGGCTACAGCGTTAGCTCCTGTCGACCACTCATGGTCCTAGACCTGGGTGACCAGGGCGACTGCCCAGGGTGATGTGCTGATGGGGGCACATGTAAATAGTCTCATGTGACCTTACCTGGGGCCAACCAGCTAAGCAGGAAGGGAAACACAATAGCCAGCTCAGCCAGGGTCAGGGAGCACAGAGGCACTCACTCATCTCAGGTAAATCCTCTACTCTGGTGGGAGCAGCAGCAGGGTGGGTGCCCAAGGGGGGGCCCCCATTCTCCCTGGGAAAGAGGGCCCCCATAGAAGCCATGTGGGGAGAGGGTGGGGCAGGCTGTGCTGGAAGAGGTTCGGGGTTGGTGGCCGAGTTTGGTGGGTTGAAGGAGAGAGAGAGAGAGAGAGTGTGTGTGTGTGTGTGTGTGTGCGCGCACGCGCGCGCGGCGCGGCGCGCTGGCCGGCTGGGGTTTGGAGCAAAGGTGTGTTAGTGTGTGTTTCTGTGCAGCTTCTCTCTGTGTTCTGATTGGCTGGGGTGTAGAGCAGAGGGTGTGTTAGTGCGTGTGCAGCTTCTCCTGGTATTCTGGCTGGCTAGGGTTTAGAGCAGCCCTGCTCTCTGGGGGTGTTTTGTGTGTACGTGTATTCAGCTTCTCTCTGTGTGCTGGCTGGCTGAGATTTGGAGCAGCCCTGCTACCTGGGTGTGTGTTAGTGTGAGCAGGTCTGGGTCTGCTCTCCCCCCTCCTTTTCTTCCCCTTCCAACTTAAGAGCCCCCATAGGGGAGGGCTGGGCTACCAGCTGGGGGGGGGGAATACTTGAGTTGTTGGGGGGAACCTTTAAATTGTGCCCCCCCCCTCCTTTAGCAGTTGGTCCTGTTCTCCTGCTTCCCTGGCTGGCTCAGAAGCTTTGCTCACTTCTTTTGGGGTGAGTTGGGGGGGGGGGGCTGCTGCTTCCCCAATGTGAGGCAGATGGGTGGATACAGAGGAGATATGTGAGTATTACTGAAATCAGCTCTTCCATGTGCCCCCTACTAACAGGAGAGGGAAATGAGTCACAGTGGATGGGTGAAGCACATATAGGAAACCCTGGAAATGCAACCATCCTGAGTTGTGACCCCTCGCACTTACAACCATTTTTGTAAGTGCGGAAGGGGTCGAAAACCCCCGACTTATGTCCTCGGACGGCGCATGACACCTATTGTAAATGAAGGTTCAAGTTACAATGCCCCTGACTTGCAACGCTTCCCCAGGAACCAATCACGTCGCAAGTCGGGGGCAGCCTGTACCTTTCATTCAATACTTGATCACTTATCTGCACCCTTGAGTTTTCAGTATGCTGAAATTTCTCAGGGCAGAGGGCCTTGTCAAAGCTGTTGTTGGGCACAGTGTTGTTTTTGCATCAAGAGTAAGAATAAGGACATTTTTTTCCCTCCTATCTTAACCTGCACACCTTCTTCATGCCCTAGAAGTCACTCGGGTTCCTAATGTGAGAATCTGAAGATAATGTGTGAATGTTGTGACTTGCAGTTTCAGTCAGGCTCTTAAACTCAGAGGGAACTCAACAGGAATATAGGAGACCCCTACCCCCATCTTCAATGCTTTACCCCTGCTGCTCTGACTTATAAAAAGACTTGGTAGAATGCACTTTTTATTTTTTATAACTTTGCATAATATATGTTTTATGCTTTTTGTCTTTTTATAATTTTCACATTTGTGGGAAATTATGGAGGGAGGTCTGATAATTTTTTAATGACAGACGAAGTTGAGATGCAAAGAGTTCAAGCTTTAAAGCTATTAAAACACAGAGAGACAAGGTGGGTGAGGTAATATCTTTATTTTTATTATTTGTATTTTGGAACAGCTTTGGTTGGTGAGAGGTTCGCCCTTTTGAGCTTCACAGACCTGGAGAAGAGCTATGAAGAGTTCCAAGGTTGTCTGTCACCAGCCATATTTGGTCCAATTAAAGATATTACTTCATTCACCTTGTGTCTCTCATCCGGGCACCAACATGACTACAACAAAACAGCAAAAATCATTATATCACATGTCAAGATATACAAAATAAATATCCTAATTAGGGTTTCCAGGTGTCTGGTTTTGAACCAGACAGTCCGGTATTTGAGGTTTCTGTCTGGGAAACAAATTGAGAAAATACCACACATATAAATGTCCGGTATTTTCTAATTAAGTAAGTTTTATTATTATCATGAGTATCAGTATGTAGTTGTGTACTGCCTGGCTGGCAAACATGCTCACACTGCGTGAGCATGTCTACCAGCCAGGCAGCATGCAACTACGCAGTAGAGAGGAGGGGGGCGGAGCCACGGCAGAATGGAATCCCTGGGGCTGGATTTGACCGTGCGCCCTGCCAGGATCATGTGCGGGACGGGCAGCACCCCGGGATCTGTGTGTGCCCAGGCCAGCCTCGTTCCCTGCCGGCTGGTTCCCCTCTGCTCCTCCCAGCCAGCCCTGTTCTCTGCCAGCCGGTTCCTCATGGAACGAGGTGTACAGCTAGTTCGGATTAGGAAGCCTAATCCGAACTAGCTAGTCCATGCCGCGTGTAGCCGCGCGGCACGGGGTCTGAACTAGCCGGCATTTAAAAATGGCGCCGGCCGGCTTTATGCAAATGAAGCCCGGGAAATTCAAATCCCGGGCTTCATTTGCAACTCCTTATGACTACATTACCCCCCCTAGTTCGAACTAGGGGGGTAGTGTAGACGTGCCCATACTGACTTCAGTGCAATTACTGCAGTGTAAATGAGAGCAGAGTCAGACCAGAATGTGTTGGCAGATGCATGTCTTCCCCTGACTTAACAAACCAGTGCAGCTAGACAAAGCAAATTAAGTGCTCAGTGTGGTATTGATTGGCTTACACCAGAGAAAGTGCTAAAAGCCCTACAAGGGGCATTGCTGAAATTGTGTAAGTAACGTACCAGCAACCTGAACTGTCTTTTCCATGGGAAACATACAAGGAGATTTTACGGGTCATTAATGGTTGTTAATTAGAGAATGCTAGAACTGCCTGTAGAGATCCTACACAACTTGTATTCTACGTCAAGACCTGGGATTCGTTCTCTAGTCGTATCAATAATGAAACAGACTCTTCATCACGTTGACCTTTTGTGATCATAAGCTTTGAAGAAAGAGGATATTCTTCAAATGATAGCTGACACGCTTCATACATGCTATTGAATTGAAACATAATCTTTTTGAAATCTGCCACGTCACTGAGACCAATCAGCAATGTTCAGCTTTGTTTGCTGACATTTTGTTTCTAGCAAGCAAGGCTTGTGGTGTTTTTTTAGTTTGTTTGTTTTAAGTTTTTGTATTATTCTTGTCTGGCATGTGTAGCCTGGGGGAGTGAACCCAGGACGGGGTCTCAGGAAATCCTTTGTTCTAATCTTAGTTCTGACACTGACTTGTCATTGTGTATGTGAGCAAGAGCTGTCACTTGGGTTTCTCCCTTGTGAAGTGAGGGTTTTCCTGCCACCCAGAAGTGTTGTGGATTGAAGTGTCTGTTTCTTAATGTGCTACGCTCATTTCTGAGTACGTCCACACTGCAGTGGGGAGCAAGCCTCCCAGCTCAAGTAGGTAGAGTTAGGTGGACTTGCACAAATCTCCACCTGAGCCATGCAATCCACACTGCTATTTTTAATATGCTGGCTCGAGTGCTGCTAGTGCTAGTATGGCTACTGGGCTGGGAGGCTGGCTCTCTGCTGAAGTTTAGACGTACTCCTTGTGTCTGGTTGACCTCTAGAATATTCACTCTCTCAGACGGAAGCGGGTGGAATGTAGGCACAGAACACCAGTCTTTCACTGAAGGAGGTTTATCCAGACCTTTATTTCTGCACTATTGTGGGTCCAAATTAGCACAAAAGAAACAGCAGGTGGGCGCTTAAGCATGTAACATCCTACCCCAGGTTACTCTCAGCTGGGTGGGTAGTTCTAGCATTCTGCCTCCCTCACAGGCTTCCTCCCCCTTTGCCCACTGGGTAGCTGTTTCTAGAGCATTTCCTCCCTTCAGCTGGAGGGGGTCATAGCCCCGGCCTTGCTGCTCCCTTCTGCACACCTATGTGAGTCCAGAGCAGGGATTAACATCTGGATTTCTGGTTTCTTCCCACTGTCACTCCCTAGCAGGAAGATGTCCTGGCCTCATGGAAGAGCTGTAGGGAGCGTTAGAGTGAATCCTGGGCTTCCTTTCTTTCAGCTGTGCAGCACTATCCCACAACAGGTCCCACAAATCCAGCTCTTGTCCCTGTTGGACATGGTGAGCTTGTGCATGCTGCCAGGGCTCTAGGATTCTTCACCGGCCAATGACTGTCACTCCATTATCTCCCAAGTGGTAGAGCAGGCCTTTCTTGTTGTTTAATTTTAGATTGGCATCCAGAACTACTCAACCACCACAAGCTGCCAGTCACGACCCAGCCAGCCCCGCAGTGACTATGGGAAACTCTTTGTGGTTCTGGTCATCATCGGTTCCATCTGTGCCATCATCATCATCCTGGGACTTATCTACAATTGCTGGCAGAGGCGCCTGCCCAAGATGAAGAACATGGTGAGCACCTGGGTAGTGGAGGAGGACATCTGAACTTGGCTCTTGTTCCTCAGAATGGTAGCAGTAGGGTGGGTGAATGGGAAGGGGACATGTTCCTTCACCTTGTCCACCTTCCAAGATGAGTTTGGTAGAAGCACCTGGGCTAGATCACTGTAGGTCAGTGGCCATGTCCAGATCAGAATTTGAGACCCCGGTCGTGCTCCCTTATTGGATCTAACCCTGTAGTACAGGGGTGGCCAACCCGAGGCTCGCGAGCCGCAAGAAAAAAATTGCAGCTCCTGATGGAACTGGGATGGAACCTGGAACCGCTCAAGTCAGCCGCTCTCATGGCCCGGCCGCTGTGAGCCGCATCCATGCTCACAGCCCACGCCGTTCCGCTCACGGCCCCCAGCATGCTGCGTCATATTCTGCAGATGCAAGTCGGGTCGCACTCAGCGTCCCAGCCTGCACATGCTAGCAGCTGGCTGCTGAGTGCAGGCAGCAGTAGGGGCTCCGGGTGCAGCATCAGTGGCGGCTCTGGGATTTGGGCATAAGGTTAGTGGGAGAGGGGGATTGGGTTAAAGCGGGGGGAAGGAAGGTGTCTGGCTCTGAGGGAAGGGAAAAAAGGGGGATTGGGTTGTGGGGAGGGGTGCACATGGTGTGCCGGCCGCTCAGCACACGCACCCCAGCGCCTGGAGGGAGACGCACGGCTGTAGCGGTGGCGGCTCCAGGACCCCAGAATTAGGTTAGAGGGGTGGAGGGAGATTGGTATATAGGGGGCCCAGTGCCTGGCTCTGGGGAAGGGGAAGGGAGATTAGGTTGGGGTGTGTGTGCCTGGCTCTGGGGAAGGGCGAGGGGGGTTTTTTGTGGTTTTTGCATCTCACTTGTGTGATTCCCAACTGATTTTTCTGTGGGTCAGTGGCCCCCCACAAAACAGGTTCCCCACCCCTCTCATAAATAAAGACAATGCTGAAATGTTTTGTGTTGAACATAATATTTTAGTTAAAAATGAAGCCTGGCCTACAAGCCCCCATCTGGCCACAGCATCATAACACTCCTTGACTCCCTCCCTCCCTGCTTGAAATCAATGAAAGAGTCTTTTAACACCCTTTTTGTCCCTGGTTAACTGCACAAATGCCATAGCAGCGCAAGCATGGCCCCCCCCTTGTGGTTCCTGCTCTACATCAAACCATTGTGATGTTGATGTTGACCTTGTTGCACCTAATGGTGCAATATTTCAAGAGCATAAACACAGCATGCCAGGAAGAGGATAAAGAGGAATCTCCTCTATCTTGGGGTGCCATGATTATGCTGTACAGGCAAGCCCTTGTGTTGAGCAAATTGGAAACATAACTGGCATTCAATCCTCTGGACACAGTGGAACACTTGTTTTGGTGCCATGAGACAAGCATAGACTTGTGGGACTGTATAGTGTTGCAGATATGGGACGATAAGCAGTGGCTGCAAAACTTCCAGATGCGCAAGGCCATTCTCTTGTAACTCTGTGAATGGCTTTCCCCCACCTTGAGGCACCTGAACGAGACCCACTCTGACAGTGGAGAAGCGTGTGGCAATTGCCCTGTGGAAGCTTGCAATGCCAGACACCTATCCGTCAGTTGGAAATCAATATGGAGTGGGAAGATTTACAATGGGGGGCTGTTATTCAAGTAGCCAAAACAATTAATACCATTCTGCTACAGAGGGTAGTGACTCTGGGAAATGCGGATACCATAGTGGATGGCTTTGCCACAGAGGCATTCCCTAACCATAGAGCAGCAAAAGACAAAACACATATCCATCCCCATCTTAGCCCCATCCCTGAGCCAGCATCCTTTTCTCTACTTCCTTCTGCACCCAAATTCCCTCCCAGAGCTTGCACCTCTCACCCCTTCCCGGTGCTTTTTTTGTGAGCCACACTAGCAGTGGAAACAGTGTGAAGAGCCGGGGCAAAGTTGTTGAGCCAAAGAAAAGAAAGGAAAAACAAAAAAAAGAGGACAGGGCCACAAACACTGGGGGAAAGCTGTGTCCCAGCGCGGGCACTTTTGTTTGTTTGTTTGTTTGTTTGTTTGTTTTTTTGTTAAACAACTTTGCCTCGGCTCTTCATGCTGTCTCCACTGCTATTGTGGCTCTTCGTCTGGAACGGGTTGGCCACCCCTGCTGTAGCATGACACAGTGGTCCAGATGCAGCCCAAAGAGTTCTTAAATGCAGTCGCCTCCATCTTTAATATGGAAGTGCTGCCTGTATATCCCAGCATGCCCTGTTCCATCTTGTTTTAAGCAGCCAGAGTTCACTGCATGCTGTGAACAGGATTGTCCACTGTAATTTACTCCCTAATATTAAAGTTATGGTTTCAGGTGGCTCCATTTTATCTAGAACTGGAAGATTTGCCCACTGTTGTTTGGGTCCTTAACTCAATTTTTGTTTTTCTTCATTTAAATCATTATTCTGGGGTGGGGTTGGGAATGAGGGGTTCAGTGTGCAGGCTGTCCGAGGGAGAGAGGACAACCCAATCCCTCTCTCACCACAGCAGCCATGGCATGGTGTCGGGGGTGCAGGTGTCAGGGCACGGGGTTGGGAGGTGAGTGGAGGCTTAGGGCAAGTTATGGTGAGTGCAGGAATCAAGGCTGGGGGTTGGGAAGCAAGAGACTCAGGTTGGGGTGGGGGTGCAGGAGTTAGGGGAGGGAGGTGTGTGGGGGCTCAGGGCATAGGGTGGTGGGTGTAGGAGTCAGGAAATGGTGTGGGGGATGAGTGAAGAGGAGCTCATGGCAAGGAACAATGGGGGGCTCAGGGTTGGGAGTGTGGCTATCAAACTGCCCAGGTGGTGGATTTCTGGGGCTGGCTGGGGCAGTGGGGACCATGCTGCCCGGGTGATGACTCCCCTGGACTGGCTGCCATGGGGGCTGTGCTGCCCGAGTGGCAGATCCTCAGGGCTGGCTGGGGTGATGGGGGCCGTGCTGCCCGGGTGGAGGATCATTGGGGCAGCAGGGGCTGTGCTGCCCGGCTGCCCAAGCTTTGGGGCTGTAGCCAGGGTATGTTGTGGCCACTCGGTAGCTGTGGATGCTTGCTCAGGCTCAGCAGAGCTGAGGCCCGGTAGGAGAGTGGCTTGGGCTCCAGCTGTGGGGGATGAAGGCCAGAACTGGAGGGGTGTCCAGCACCAGCATGGAAACCTTACCTCTGCCCCACCCCCTACTGTCCCAATGGGATGATAGCTATCCCTGTACCCATCTCTGGCCCCTTGTGGCCCCCCTGTGATCATTATACAATGTAACTGTCCCTGCTATTAGCCCCTTCCTTTTCCATGTTATGAAAAACAATCACATTCCAGGCACATCTCATTGTCCTGGCACAATTAAACCCTGACCTTGCTTTAAGTTATGTTAAAAGGAAGCTGCACACCAAATTTGGAGGTCCTAGCGTTACTGTTTAGGAGGAGTTCTTGAACAAATGGACGGACGGACAGACAGACTCACTCGCTCACAAACTCTCAAATATATAGTAGATAGGTACAGCCTTTGGGCTCCTGGCATGTGCCACCTCCTTTCCACGCTGAGGGCCAGTTGTCTTTCATGAACGGGCATGAACAAGCTCCACTCAGTTCCCATGGCAAAAATCCCCATTGAAGGAGCTGGCTCTGGCCCCAGCCTTGTGCCTCTCCAGCATTGGGCACTTTTATCAGTTTCTGTGTCCCTCTTGCCTCCTCCTCCTTCCTTCCAGTCACACGGCGAGGAGCTGCGCTTCGTGGAGAACGGCTGCCATGACAACCCAACCTTGGACGTGGCCAGTGACAGCCAGTCGGAGATGCAGGAGAAGAAGCCCAGTGTGAATGGCGGAGGTGCCATCAATGGCCCAGATGGCTGGGGTGTCCTGATCAGCAAACGGGCGAGCGAGGACGCAGATGTGTTTGAGGAAGACACACACCTTTAAAAAGAGAAACAGCTTAAATATATGTCTATCCTATCTTGTCTTAAGGACTATGAGGGGAGGGGCAGCTTCTCAGGAACCTCTAATAGGGCTTGGGACAGAGCGACTCTTTCTTGCCATTGTCCTGAAGCTGCCTCTGAATCCTGGAGTGAGGAGGGTCACTGTGAGTGGAGGGAGGCGGGCGGGACGCTGGGATGTGTGTGTGTATGTCTTTTGCTATCAGTAGCACCAATGCTTTCATCACTTTTAAATGCACTTACTGCAGCTTTCTGGTAGCGGCTGAGAATGGCTGAGGAAACAACATAATGAGGTTAAAACGGACTCCAAGTGACTGTCCCTGGGTAGTCAACTCACACTTGGTGCCCAGCAGGGAGATGGCAAACCAGACCCTGACCTCACTGGCCTCTGAAACCGGAATCAGAATCTGCCCTTGCAGTTGCAATAGGAAAATCTGTGTCATGGTCTGGATCTGAGACGCCAATATTAAGTTGATGTCCTGGGCAAAGAGTTTGCATTCTGTGCACGTATGGAGATCAGATAGTCACTGGTGCCCTTGCTATAGCTTCTGATGGGACAGTCTGCTGTGTTTGTCACATGAAAACATTTCCCTGTCAGCTCTCACCTCGGCCTAACACACCTCTTACCCCTCCATTTTCAGTTCCACAAGCACCATGTTGAACATGACAAGTTTGAGCACTTTATTCTATCCTGGTTTGTCTGGATGATAGCAGAGAATTCAGTGCTGCACTTCAGAACCTCTGCTGGTATTTCAGTGTGGGGTAGGAGTTCACCTGAAAAGGTCAATTTTTGGCAACTTGAGAGGACACATCAGCAAAAAATCCCTTGTCTGAGGCTATGTCTACACTATGGGGTTTTTCTGGGATACCAGAGGTATCCCAGAAAAACTCCACCACATCCAGGGAACGCATCTGTTCTTCCACTTCTTTTGTGGAAGAGGCAGAGGCGTGCTTTGGGAAACCCTGTCTTCCTTCTCCCAGAAGAAAGAAGGGCTCTTCCAAAAGAGGAGGCTTTTCCGAAATTTGGCCCAGTGTAGACGGACCAAATTTCGGAAAAGCCTCTTCTGAAAAAACGACTGGAAAAAGGTATGCAAATCGCGGAGTGCAATTTGCGTACCTTTTTCCGGAAGATTGTTGTAGTGTAGACGCAGCCTGAATCTCAGACTAGGTGGCCTTTTTTTGCTCCTATCCAATTTTCAATGCCTGTGGCTTCTAGTTGTGGTTGATCTTGTGAGATGAACATACAGAGCAGCTGCGACATCTTAATGAAGGAAAATGAGATCCAGAGACTGAAAACTTCTCCCATTTGGGATCTTACTAGATCTGTTTCAGGAGAGAAGACTCAAGTCTCACATTGGTATAAATCTTGGAATGCAAAAAAGTGTAATTTCACTGAAATTACAAAAAAGTGTAATTTCACTGAAATTATTGCATTTAAACTAGTATAAAGTCAGCATAGGTTCAGAATCAAGCCTACGCATCCATATATGTGCTTCTCAAGCATGCCTTGGGCAGACCTTATGGCCTCTAGTTTCCTGAGGCAGTGATAAAATGCACTTGAATATGCATAACTGTGCTCCTATCCCTGAGTAAAACATGATGCTCAGAACTACTGCTCTCAAGTTTGAAATGTTTTGTTTCTTTTTTCTCTACATTGTTCCATGGTTTTGGGGCACTTTGGTTAAGAAAACAAGAAATCCCTCCCCTTCACCTTATTTTCAAAATCTCCATTTTTGGACTGGCTGTCTGCCTATAACAGATGCTATTGAAGTTTAGTCTTTAAGGGAATAACTATACAAAAAGATTCAAATATATTTAATGAGGATTAGCAATTAACTTGTAATTCCTCTCTCTCTCTCTCTCTCTCTCTCTCATGTCTGTAGCATGCTCATCACTGATATTTGAGTGCTGAAAGTCAGGATACAAATGAGCTTGTTAATACAGATTCATTTTTGCATAGCATTTTCTATATAAACTGATTCCCAATAAATTGAATTGAATAATGCAGGACTATAATCAGTCTACGCTGTGGAATCTAGAACCACTATGCTGAAAATGTTTTAAGGGTCTTCCAGATAAAGAGATGTTATATAAAATATAAGACATTATCTTTAGATGATGAATTAATAAAACATTGAGTTAAGTTATGTTTTTATACTGCACAGAGCACAATGGGGCCCAGCCTGCTTATGGTCTTTAGGCAGCATCATAGTATAATGTTAATATAGCTACTAATAATCCTCATTAAATATGTTTAATATTCAGTAAGTACTATAAATATAAAACTATATTAAATCAAACATGGATTAGGACACCCACACAAAGTACATTTTTCTTTTGTTGATTCCGTCACGTGTTCCTTCAGTGCTGGGCTGCGTTGCCACTTTCCATTCATATCCTCTCACCAAGTACAGAGGAGCAGGGTGCTGATCAGCTAATACTCAAGCCCAACAGTAACATAAGTTAGCCTTTGTTGTGGTGGCAGAGGGCCATCAAACTTTAAATTGTTAAAGGTTTGTCATCAAATCTTATTAATGAGCAGCTCTAGCTCTGAAAGCTGCCAGCTACCAAGCTCTGGTGGCTTGCAACTCTAGTTCCTTATGGTTAGGGTAGTACCCTGTATCTTGGAATGCAAAAAAGTAGAGTTCCTGGCTCTCCTTTCTGAGGTTCAGGAGTTCTCTGCAGGTCTTGAGTGCATCTTTGGATGTCTGCCACAGTGGCCATTCACTTGCTTTGGAAGAGTCTCAGAAGAGGTTTGACTTGACTATGTAATCCCAGCTTGTCTCCAAAAGGCCTGTGGCTAATATCATTCTACTATTAAAACAGAAATTTTTAAAATCTAACTTCCCCACTTAATTTGTATTTGGCTGATGTTGGGAGGTGAAACTAAGTGTATCAGTTACATTGCATGGGCCTGGTCTTGCAACCCTTCCATGAGCAAAGAGCTCTCATTGACATCCAGGTACAGGATTTGGCCCTGTATTCCTAGTCAGTTTTACTCTGGTTCTTGTGTCTTGGGTTTCTAATTCTGCAAAGGGAGATTTAAAGGAAGAAAAGAACATTTGTGTTTTTTAAATTATTTAATTCATGGAAACTTTTCTGTTCATATAATTTTGTTAAACTTTTATTTTTAACATAAACCCTCAGTGTTGGGCACCAAACTGGACAGAGGATAGGCTGACAGCTGAAAAACGTATTTTGCATTCTGTATGGTTTCTTTGTAGTCCTGTCTGCCACATATTAGGTTACGCTGACACCTTCTGGTAGTTATAGGTTAAATGAATAAAAAAGAAAGTTTTCTCTTAACTGTGAATGCTCATTTTTCCTATGATTTTTATGAGCACTATCAGTGGATAACCATTCACATCTTATTCATACTCTGTAGCTGTTGAAATCACTTGTGGTCAGAGGGCACAATGAAGTGAGGCAAATGCTATGTAAACACATCCCTGTTTTACTTCTACAAGTAACAACAGGGAACTGATCTATTGTTCTTCGTAGTCACAGTGCAGAGCTGAGCTCTATAGACAGCAGTAGATATCACAGGACCCTTACCCATAAATGAGATGCATCTGCATAGAAATAAAGGAGGTTTTTAAAATAAATGTCTCTGATTGTGAGCAGCATACATGTGGAAAGGGTGTGAGTTGGTAGTTGGGAGTGATGGGTAGGTAGGAAGGGAGAAAGAAGGATGACTATCCAGAAACACAATGAGCTAGACTCTGTGGTTGCGTCTAGACTGGCATGATTTTCCAGAAATGCTTTTAACTGAAAAGTTTTCCGTTAAAAGCATTTTCGGAAAAGAGCATCTAGATTGGCACGGACACTTTTCCGCAAAAGCACTTTTTGCGGAAAAGCGTCCGTGGCCAATCTAGATGCGCTTTTCCGCAAAAAAGCCCCCATCACCATTTTCGCGATCGGGGCTTTTTTGCGCAGAACAAATCTCAGCTGTCTACACTGGCCCTTTTACGCAAAAAGGATTTTTGCCCGAATGGGAGCAGCATAGTATTTCCGCAAAAAGCACTGATTTCTTACAGTAGGAAGTCAGTGCTTTTGCAGAAATTCAAGCGGCCAGTGTAGACAGCTGGCAAGTTTTTCCGGAAAAGCGGCTGATTTTCCTGAAAAACTGGCCAGTCTAGACACAGCCTGTATGTTTGGTGGGGTCAAATCTAATCAGAGGTGGTCCAACACTGCTAGTGAATCCCAAGAGTGTATGGAATGGGACCTGTGGTCACTGCATTGTTTCATCCAAAGATGAAATGAAATGGATCAAGATGTCTGCTAAGACTTGTTTTGGCTATAAGCTACATCTCTAGGTGTAGAGTTTAGAGAAGATATGCTGTGGTGAGCCAGCAATTCATCACAATGTATTTAGTTTATAAATTGTCTTGAGATCCATCTGAATGAACACTGTATAAACCATAGGCCCATTACTATAGAAGTTATTAGAATGATTATTCTGAGAGTGACAAGAGATTCTTTCTGCTCTTTGCTGGTTGTTCTTTTTGGCAGTGACCTGCGTGTCGTGGCCACAGACAAAGTGCCCAGCAATACAGCAGCAAGAGTTTCTCCTGTACAGTTGGTTGGGATTCCTGGGCCTGACTTTCAAAAGGTGCTGTCTCACCTCAGCCCTCATTGCAGCAATGGAAGTAGTGTGTTCTTATTCTCCAGTGAAAATCAGGCCAACAGCCTATAGCTTAGAGAGCAGCAAGTGTTCTCAAACTCCTTGTCCCTGCTGGACTTGGCTGCAGCAAGCCAGTCTTTGTATTTGTTTGGGGTCATGGCTGAATAAGCAATGGCTGAACAAGCAATACAACTGAGAAGTTGTATTGGCATTGCTATGTCAGGCAGGGATGTAAAAACCCCAAACTACCAAACCCTCTGTGACCAATCTAGCTATACCTACAGATGCACCTCCCCTCCAGCACGGACATAACTATGTTGACAAACAAGGGTTTCCATTAATACAGTTCGCTTTGCTGTGGGAAGTGGTGTTCCTACACCAACAGAAAAACACCTGCAGTTTGGTGTAGGCTGCATTGGCTATGCCAACATAACTATGCTGGTATGGTGCCAGTAATGTGTTGGCATCCCAAGAAGCCCTTGAGTCTGACCCTTAAATGGGCAGGATTGTGGCGATGGTCTGTCTGTGTATTTATTAAACACAGTAAAAACACCTTTCAAGTGTCTGAACACGTGTTAGGGTATGAAAATCCTTGTTTGATTGTCCTGTTTCAACTGGCTTCTCTTGCCTCTGCATACACACATTTACATACACCCATTATCTTTACAAAAAATAAAGCCACCCAAATCTCAATTTCCCCAAGCTGAAATGCTTGTTAGCATTAACTAACCATTAAGCTAGGTATGCTGTTTCTGCTCTTGGATCATTTTTATTCAAAGACTTGGCTTTTAGAGGATAAGGTGGGAAGGAACCTCTTAGACCATCTAGTCTAACTCTCATGCCTCAAACAGCAAATACATGTCTCAGTCTGCACAACTGCCTTGAACACCTCTCATCCAGGCAATAGAAGTTTTTCTGTCTGCTCTGCCACATTGTTGTGTGTGAGGGGGACAACTGTGAAGGATCTGACTTCAGAAGGTCTCTAGGTGCTGGTGACATTAATCCCTTTCCTGCCTGGGATGGTGGTCATCTCCTGCAGCAAATGTACAGACTGGACTGTGATTTGCAGCTCTCATCTCTACTCTCCTATGTTCTCACTATTCCACTACATAAAGTCACTTCATAATGGTTACTTCTTTGTTTTCCTTTCCCAAAGTGTAGTGACAATGCACAGGACAGAGCCCAGGACTATGACAGAGCATAGAGGCAGATCTTCAACAAACACCTTCACTCTGTTCTGCCAGTACAGGCAGTCCCCGGGTTACATGGATCCGACTTACATCGGATCCCTACTTACAAACGGGGTGAGGCAACCCCGCACTAGCTGCTTCCCCCCGGCAGACCAGGGAGACGCGAAGCTAGCCCCCCCCCAGCAGACCCAGGGAGATGTGGAGCGGCTTTTCTCAGCAGACACCTCAGCTTGAGAATA